AACCCTGATTAAAGGGGAATACTGGGAACTGTGATGTAAGTTGGAGCCCTGGTTACCAGAGTCTACAGCATTTCCCCTTGCATCGGAGTTCAGTCCATACATCAGAGTTCTCAGTGTTCCCCTTAGAGTCCCCAGAGTTCTCCCTTATATTAGAGTCTGCAGAGTCCCTCTGTACAATGTAAGGGAACTTTGCAAGTTCAGATGTTAGGGGAGCAGCACAGTGGCTAAATGATTATCACTTCCACCTGGCAGTACTAGGATCATTAGTTCAAATCCCAACTACGGCACCACCTGCCTGGAGTTTGCATGTTCTCCCTGTGCTTGCGTGGGTTTCCTCCGGGTACTCTCACACTCCAAAAAGAGATGCTGGTAGGTTAATTGGTTCCTGTCTAAATTGACCCTAGTATGTGTACGTATGAATGTGTGTTCGGGACCTTTGATTGTACGCCCCTTGAGGGTTAGGGACTGATGTGAATGTACTATATATATATATATATATATATATATATATATATATATATATACACACACACACACACATACATACATGTAAAGCACTGTGTAAATTGACTGCGTACCTGTAATGAAATAAAATAAAACTCTGGGGATTCAAATGTAAAAGGGAAATTCTGTGATGTAAGGGTCCCCCTTGTAATTAAATTCATATGATTAGAAAGGTTATGTAATCACATAAGAACTATACAAAAAACCATGTGGAGGGAGAGATGACCTGCAAGCTTCGCCTTTGAATTTCCATTGTATCAACAGCTGATTTTGGCCACATCAAGCATTAACATGGAGACGGCTCTGGAGTGGTAAGACTGTACCTTCTTACCTGTCCTGACCAGCATCGAGACTATTACTGCCACAACTGGTAACATTGAGCAGACCTGTTCATTACTGGCCATGTGGATAATGATTGCCTCAGCTCCTGGGATGATTTAGCACCATAAGTGAGCTTGAAAATTATACACATTGCCACTGGCCTTATTAAACTTCTGTATGGACATTGAGGCTGAGTTTTTGTGCCCTCTATTTCAATGCTGACTGGCTATGAACTTACCGATTCACTTTGTATATTCATTGCTGTATCAAATGGGCAATCTGCTATTCCCAGAGTCCGCCGATTTGCTTTATATTGGCCAAGCCAATGACTTTATTTTTGACCAAATTGGATTGGGGTTATTGGCTGCACCTTAGATGTATTATACGTCAACCGCTATCTCTTACCAACCATTTCCTGATCCTTTATAGCTCTCACTTTTTGGGTCACTGTTGGTGACCTTGGGACTGTTTCCAGTATCCCCGTGATATTTATTTAGCAGGGAGAAATCCCCCTCCATAGAGTACTATCATTATTGGAACCATCTATTGCTTATGGGCCCTAGGGCATGTATGTACAGTTGTGTTCAAAATAATAGCAGTCAGACATCACTAACCTGATCAATCACTGTTTTTGGTAGAAATGATATTTCTACATGGCAAATAATTTACTAGCAGGTGTAGTAGAGTAATAGAAATCCAACAGACGCAACAATCATGACATGCATGCTGCTGATTCTGTGTAATTGAATCACTAATTGAAAGGGGCTTGTTCAAAATAATAGCAGTGTGGAGTTCTATTAGTGAGGTCATTCATTCTTTGAAAAACAGGTGGCAATTATTGCCCTTATTTAAGGAAGGAAGGCAGCAAATGTTGTACATGCTGGTTACAGTGCATTTCTCTCTGAAATTCTGAGGAAAATGGGTCGTTCCAGACATTGTTCAGAAGAACAGCGTACCTTGATTAAAAAGTTGATTGGAGAGGGGAAAACATATAAAGAAGTGCAGAAAATGATAGGCTGCTCAGCTAAAATGATCGCAAATGCTTTAAAATGGCAACCAAAACCTGAAAGACGTGGAAAAAAGCAAAAAACTACTATTCGAATGGATAGAAGAATAGCCAAAATGGACAGGAATCAGCCAACAATCAGCTCCAGGAAGATCAAAGAAGGTCTAAAAGTTACCTGTGAGTACTGTTACAATTAGAAGACACCTATGTGAAGCCAAGCTATCTGCAAGAAGCCCCCGCAAAGTCCCACTGTTGAAAAAAAAGGTGTGCTGAAGAGGTTACAATTTGCCAAAGAGCACATTGACTGGCCTAAAGAGAAATGGTGCAACATTTTGTGGACTGATGAAAGTAAGATTGTTCTTTTTGGGTCTAGTGGCCAGAGACAGTTTGTCAGACGACGACCCCCAAACACTGAATTCAAGCCACAGTACACTGTGAAGACAGTGAAGCATGGTTGCGCAAGCATCATGATATGGGGATGTTTCTCATACTACGGTGTTGGGCCTATTTATCGCATACCAGGGATCATGGATCAGTTTGAATACATCAGAATACTTGAAGAGGTCGTGCTGCCTTATGCTGAAGAGGAAATGCCCTTGAAATGGGTGTTCCAACAAGACAACGACCCCAAACACACCAGTAAACATGCAACATCTTGGTTCCAGACCAACAAGATTGACGTTATGGAGTGACCAGCCCAATCCCCGGATCTTAATCCAATAGAAAACTTGTGGGGTGACATCAAAAATGCAGTTTATGAGGCAAAACCAAGAAATAGAGAAGAACTGTGGAATGTAGTCCAATCATCCTGGGCTAGAATACCTGTTCACAGGTGCCAGAAGTTGGTTGACTCCATGCAACACAGATGTACAGCAGTTCTCAGAAACAGTGGTTATACAACTAAATATTAATTAAGTGATTCAAAGGAAAGCAAAATCTTCAAACATTTTTCAGTTTTATATAGTGAATGTTTGAGTTTGTAAAGAAGAATACAAACACTGCTATTTTTTTGAACAGTCGAATATTCACTTTTCTTCAATTGTTTTAGAGGAACAACACAAATTTGATATATTTTTCTTCATGTTTTGATTTGGAATAGAATGTGTAGTGTTCCCAATGCATTTGTGTGTATGGAAATAAAAGCTATTAGAAGGATTTTGAGCTTTATTCACTTTTTTCAACATACTGCTATTATTTTGAACACAACTGTATATATGTCCTGCAATGCAATTTGTACTGAACTACTGCTAGCCACAAATGTGTGATGAGTATCTTGCAGGGGATATATACATACATTGTATATTACATCTGGATGTCTTTACATTTACGGTACATTATTTTTATAATTTTGTTTTATGCATTGCAATTTTTTCTGCCACGAATAAATAATAATTTTTAACTACAATTTCTGATACAAGCCTGGTTTGCTGTCAGATTAACCACTTGTCTCATATAGGGGGCTTTGCCCACTGTATGTGACCTTGCTATATTTATTTAATCACATAATATACACTATATTGCCAAAAGTATTGGGACACCCCTCCAAATCATTGGATTCAGATGTTCTAATCACCTCCGTGGCCACAGGTGTATAAAATCAAGCACCTAGGCATGCAGACTGCTTCTACAAACATCTGTAAATGAATGGGTCGCTCTCAAGAGCTCAGTGAATTCAAGCGTGGTACCGTGATAGTTTGCCACCTGCGCAATAAGTCCATCCGTGAAATTACCTTGCTACTAAATATTCCACGGTCAATGGTTAGTGGTAGCATAACAAAGTGGATAAAGTGAAGAATCTTGTTTGATGCTATGCCAAATAGTGATACAAAATAATAAATGGAAAATAAAATATTGATAGAAAATGAAAATAGAACTGTGAATCGCTCACACCATTCACATTCCCATACAAAATGTGTTATATAACATAAATATCAATCAAATGACTGATTTAAACCAAAACAATCAGCATAAGCGTCTCTTAATAAGTGTCCATGCATTGGTGTTCTGCATGGATGTATGTCTTCACAGATTCTTGAATAGCAAATAACTTCTTAGAACACCTCGTGCAATTATACACTGCAAACCAATGTGTGTACATCTTCACCAGATGTGCCCTCACCTGGTGTATATATCCAAAGCACTAAGTGAGGTCATATATAGCATGTGTCTCTAATATGGACTGATATAAAATGTCCGATAAGTCCAATAAGCATGAGTCTCCTCCAGTCTCCTAGCTGTCCTCCTCCATAAGATAAATGCCAAAAAGAGATGACCAAAACATGGTTCTTACAAAACATTTATTGATAAAACAATATCCAGTATTCCACTCACATGTATAATGTATAATATCTCGTCTTACAAAGTAACTCCAAAAAGGCACAGCTACTGGTATAGATCCTCCAAGCACTAATCTGCAGCCAGATGCACTACTCTCTCCTTTCCTATGAGCGTTGTGACGTCAAAGCCCCTCCCCTACGTGTTACGCCACCGGGTCACGCGGCTTCATCAAGGAGAATGATTGGACAGCACAGCGCTCATCCTGTGTATGTGTATATATTTATATATATATATATATATATATGGTCTTCCTGGGTGCCATATTGTTGTAGCCTAAAATGTGAGTAGCCATATGCCCTTAGTCTGCTACCTTGTTTATGGACGCTGATAAAAAAAATTCTATATAAAAAAACGTATTTTAACCACTAGCCTACAGGGCACTTCCTGCCCAGGCCAATTTCCAGCTTTCAGCGCTCTTGCACTTTGAATGACAATTGCGCGATCATGCAACACTGTACCCATATGAAATTTTTATAATTTTTTTTGTGACAGCTAGAGCTTTATTTTGGTCGTATTTAATCACCTCTGGGTTTTTTTTTATTTTTTTCTTAAACAAACCAAAAACCACTTAAAATTTTGAAAAAAAAAAACTTTTTTCTTAGTTTTTGCTATAACATTTTGTAAATAAGTGATTTTTCTCCTTCACTGATATGCGCTAATGAGGCTGCAGTGATGGGCACTGATAGGTGGCACTGATGGACACTGATGAGGAGGCACTGGTAGGTGGCACTGATGGGCATTGAAAGGCATCACTGATGGGCACTGAAAGGCAGCACTCATATATGGCACTGATAGGTGGCACTGACTGGCACTGATAGATGGCACTGACTGGCACTGTTAGGTGGCACTGATAGGCAGCACTGACAGGCACTGATAGGCGGCACTGATACACACTGATGGGCGAAACTGACTGGCACTGATAGGTGGCACTGACTGGCACTGATAGGTGGCACTGATTGGCAGCACTGATAGGTGGCACTGACTGGCATTGATAGGTGGCACTGACTGGCACTGATGGGTGACACTGAAAGGCAGCTCAGATGGGCACTGGTATGTGGCATTGATGTGCACTGATAGGCACTGAAATGTGGCATTGATGTGGCACTGGCAGGTGGCACTGATGAGCACTGACAGCTGGCACTGATGGACACTGACAGGTGGCACTGCTGGGGCTACACTGATCAGCAGGGCACACTGATCATCAGTGCCCTGATGATCAGTGTACATGTCCCCTCTGAGGGATGCCGATTACCAGCTCTCCTCTCCTCACGAGCTGTCAGCATGACAGCTTGTGAAGAGAGAAATGCCGATAACTGGCAATTCCCTATTTACATGCGATCAGCTGTGATTGGACACAGCTGATCACATGACCGAGCCAGCATCTTCGGCTCTTTCTGTTGATCAGTGATCTGCTGTGTCCAAGGGACACAGCGCACCACCGATCGCTGCGTGCTCCCGGAGCCGCGCATGCGCAATTAGAATGGGAGGACATCATATAACATCCTGCCAGAACGAGAGAACCGCCTTGCGCCCATCATTGTACTATATGGCGGGCGGCGGTTTAAACACAAATTATGAACCTATGTAAGTTGTGCTCACCAGCCACGTAAAATGAAAGAGCGGGTCAGCACATGCTGAAGTGCACAATGCGCAGAAGTCGCCAACTATCTGCAGAGTCAATAGCTAAAGACCTCCAAACTTTGTATGGCCTTCAGATTAGCACAACAGTGCGTAGAGAGCTTCATGGAATAGTATTCCATGGCTGAGCAGCTGCATCCAAGCCTTACATCACCAAGTGCAGTGCAAAGTGTCGAATGCAGTGGTGTAAAGCACGTTGCCACTGAACTCTAGAGCAGTGGACACGTGTTCTCTGGAGTGAGGAATCACCGGCAGTGAGGATGTCCGCAGTCTCTGGTCATCTCCTGTGCTGTGTCCGCAGTCTCTGGTCATTCCCTGTACTGTGTCCGCAGTCTCTGGCCATCTCCTGTACTGTGTCCGCAGTCTCTGGTCATCTCCTGTACTGTGTCCGCAGTCTCTGGTCATCTCCTGTACTGTGTCCGCAGTCTCTGGTCATCTCCTGTACTATGTCCGCAGTCTCTGGTCATCTCCTGTACTATGTCCGCAGTCTCTGGTCATCTCCTGTGTAGCAATTGTGCACACAGAGATGGACATTGTTATCAATCTTGCTAAGGATCCTCCATCTTGTATCACTCCCCCTCCAATCCCCACTCCTTCTCTGTTGACTGACACGTGGTCCCTGTGTATGGGTTCAGAAGTGCACAGGCAATCAGGCACAGTGGGACAGCTTCATGGTTATAAATCCCAAATTAGCTGGTGCCCGGGTGTCTGTTAGCTTCTCTGAGAGAATCGTAAAACCATAAACCAGTCCTTCACTGGGCTTCAAAGACATTCCAGCTAGCCGTAAAACAGACAACACATTTAAAACCCACTTTTCCATATCATTTTATATCTGGAGATGGGAAATAATTACATAAAAACCAAGCATATATTCGGATAGCTCAGTTTAATGCGAGTCGACTGATATCTTACACCCCCTAGTTGAAGTCTACAGGAGAGCAGAAAGCCATATAGTTCTAGCTGAAATAGTGAACTATGCCATGTTTGATATCGAGACATTCAGCATATTAATTTACCTGTGGATAGAATGTTACATGTACCTAGGGAAGGTTATGGCCCATGGTATAACTTGGGAGGGATTTTGGTTCTAGTCTGAGTCCCCCGCCTACAATGCCCCTCCCCAAATGAGGCAATTGGTTCTCTGCTGTAAGGAGACACCCTGCTGAGTTCCTAGAAAAAGGCTGTTATGCATGGAGCAGTAAGTTGAAGAATTCTCCCCTTTTAACATCAGGAACCAACTTGGGAGATGGTACCCTTTGCTCTGAAACTTCATCTGCTTAACCCAGGACTTTTGGCAAGTACTCTACCTCTCCAAAACGTCTTTCTGTTATCTCTTTGCTGTGTTATTGCTCTCTGTATTTATATATATATATTGGCTACATCTTTTTCTGTAAATATTGTTATTGCACCCTTTTGACCTTTTTAGTAATAAATCCTATTATCTGAAAAGTGTTGAACTGTTTCTAAAGCTTTTTAATGCAAACTAAGAACCCCGGTCTCTGAAGAGCGCTACTGTGTGTTTTAAACCTCTATATATCTCTGCCTGTGGTGACAGTGGTATACAGATGATTATTCAAACACCATAGTGTTATTGCTAATATTGGCGAGTTTCCTCCTTTTCTCTACAAAACGACGGTGGTGGCAGTGTGAAGGGTTAATTGCGTAATTAACCTGACCCAGTAACAATCGCTCTCAGGCTGCAGGTACATAGATTGTGGTCCATTAGCTGGAAAATCATTGAGCAGGGTGCAGCTGAGCGTGGCATTGTTGCGCACGTGACAGCTCAGCTTTAGATTGGCTAGCCCTTCGATCACAAGTTGGTGAGAAGGGCTGGGGTCTGACGCCGCGATTGTCACATCCTGTACTATGTACGTAGTCTCTGGTCATCTCCTGTATTGTGTCCGCAATCTCTGGTCATCTCCTGTAATGTGCCCGCAGTCTCTGGTCATCTCCTGTAATGTGTCTGCAGTCTCTGGTCATCTCCTGTAATGTGTCCGCAGTCTCTGGTCATCTTTTGCACTGTGTCTGCAGTCTCTGGTCATCTCCTGTAATGTGTCCGCAGTCTCTGGCCATCTCCTGTACTATGTGATGTGTGCAGTCTCTGGTCATCTCCTGTACTGTGTCCGCAGTCTCTGGTCATCTCCTGTAATGTGTCCGCCATCTCTGGTCATCTCCTCTACTGTGTCCACAGTCTCTGATCATCTCCTGTAGTATGTCCGCAGTCTCTGGTCATCTGTAGTATGTCTGCAGTCTCTGGTCATCTCCTGTACTATGTCTGCAGACTCTGGTCATCTCTTGTACTATGTCCGCAGTCTCTGGTCATCTCCTGTACTATGTCCGCAGTCTCTGGTCATCTCCTGTAGTATATCTGCAGTCTCCGGTCATCTCCTGTAGTATGTCTGCAGTCTCTGGTCATCTCCGTTAATGTGCAGTGGGTTGTGTAATGTGCAGTGGGTTGTGTAATGTGCAGGGGGCTGTGTAATGTGCAGGGGGCTGTGTAATGTGCAAGGGAGCTGTGTAATGTGCAAGGGAGCTGTGTAATGTGCAAGGGAGCTGTGTAATGTGCAAGGGTTTGTGTAACGTGCACGGGGCTGTGTAATGTACAGGGGCCTGTGTAATGTAAATCTCTGGTCATCTCCGTTAGTATGTCTGTAGTCTCTGGTCATCTGTAGTATGTCTGCAGTCTCTGGTCATCTCCTGTACTATGTCTGCAGACTCTGGTCATCTCCTGTACTATGTTCGCAGTCTCTGGTCATCTCCTGTACTATGTCTGCAGTCTCTGGTCATCTCCTGTACTATGTCCGCAATCTCTGGTCATCTCCTGTACTATGTCTGCAGTCTCTTTTCATTTCCTGTTCTATGTCTGGAGTCCATTGGATAAGAATCTTTTTTTCTTGTTTTCCTCCTCTAAAATCTAGGTGTGTCTTATAGTCAGGTGTGTTTTATGGAGCAAAAATATGGTTAGTTACATAGTTAATCTGGTTGAAAAAAGACACAAGTTTATCCAGTTCAACCAACAGATTAGAAAAAAAAGACACACACAAATAGAAAACATCCACATACATTATCTTATACCCATAGTTGATCCAAAGGAAGGTAAAAAAAAAACCCCCAATAAAGCATGATCCAATTTGCTCCAGCAGGGGGAAAAAATCCTTCCTGATCCCCCAAGAGGCAATCGGATATTCCCTGGATCAACTTTACCTATACATATTAGTATCCAGTATGCTGTGCCTGAGTAAGGTAGGAGGGGGCAGCGCTGCAGAGGTTGTATAAAGTGAAGGAGGGGAATAACTACAGGGGGCTGGGTAATGTGCAGGGGGTTGTGTAATGTGCAGTGGGTTGTGTAATGTGCAGAGGGCTGTGTAATGTGCAAGGGAGCTGTGTAATGTGCAAGGGAGCTGTGTAATGTGCAAGGGGGCTGTGTAATGTGCAAGGGGGCTGTGTAATGTGCAAGGGTTTGTGTAACGTGCACGGGGCTGTGTAATGTACAGGGGCCTGTGTAATGTAAAGTAGTCCAGAGGTGCAGGGGCTGTGTAACGTGCAAGAAACTGTTCAATGTGCAGGGGCTGTGTAATCAAGGAAAGAATAAAAGAGGGTGCACTCTCCTTGTGCATTACCGTGATAAAAAGGATATTTATTGTATTGAAACAAATAGAGGAAAGGAGTTCGACTCCCAAAACGCGTTAGCATTTTCCACTACAGGATCCCTGCTACATGGGACCGTTAATTGTGGCTCTCTCAGTTTTTACACCCATTGGTTTGTGAGTATCTATTTGTTTCAATAAATTTCCTTTTTATCACAGTAATGCACAAGGAGAGTGCGCCCTCTTTTATTATTTCTTTGCTTGCACCAAGATTTCTCTATCTTTGGAGGACTGCACCTTAGCGAGTGATGTTATCCGTGATCCTGTGTTGTATGAAGATTTGAGCGCTGGTTTTTGGAATATATAGGGGCTGTGTAATGTAAAGAGGTCCAGAGATGCAGGGGCTGTAAAATGTAAAGCGGTTCAGAGGTGCAGGTCCTGTGTAATATAAAGTGAACCAGAGGTACAGGGGCTGTATAATGTGAAGGGGGCCAGAGGCTGTGTAATGTAAGGGGGGGTCAGTGGTGCAGGGGGCTGTGTACTATAAGGGGGGTCAGAAGTGCAGGGGATGTGTAATGGAAGAGGGGTCAAAGGGGCAGAGCACTGTGTAATGTAAAGGGGGGCAGAGGTGCAGAGGACTGTTTAATGTAAAGGGGTGCCAGAGTTGCAGGGGGCTATGTAATGTGCAGGGGGGTGCAGTTGCAGGGGGTTGAGATGTGAAGGGGAGGCAGAGGACACAGCTGTGGGGAGGTGCTGTGAAGGGGGCCAGAGGACCATTATTTGTGATATGAAGGGGGACTGAGGAAACTGATGTAAGAATGGGATGGTGAAGCAAAAGAAGGGACTGTGATCTGATGAGTCATCACACAAACATGCAATTTGGACTGGAATAAAATTTTACTGATCGGACCTCCATGAATTTTAATTCAGTACTCCTGCTCTAAAACCTTTAACGTTGCCATGACTGTGGAGTGCCCACATTGCTTCTCCAAAGCTTCAAGCTCTGCTCTCTTGTGTGCAGCTTCTGCTTCCATTTGTGCTTTCTTGTGTGCAGTTTATGCAGCTTCTGCTTCCATCTCTGCTTTAATTAGTGCATCCCTGCCTGCAGTTTCTGCAGC